CTTGGCCTCTCCAGGTGCCCCCGCAATCCCGCGCTTCCCCCGCGCTGCTCCCGGGCCACACTCCTCCCCTGCTCCGCTCCCGGGAGCCAGCGGGAATGCTGGCCCGGCGGGAATGAAACCGCCCGGGACCGCAGCAGCGGCGGCCGCTACCGCCGTGGGGGAAGCGGAGCGGGAAAAGGAGCCGGAGGGATGGGGAGAGGGGCGGGAGAGGGGCGGGAGAAGGGCGGGAGAAGGGCGGGAGAAGGGCGGGAGCGGGGAGAAGGACTCGACGAGAAGGACTCGACGAGGGACGGGGCGGAGAGAGGGGCCGGGAGCGGGCAAGGAATGGGCCGGGAGAAGGGCGGGAACGGGGCGGGAGAAGGGCGGGAACGGGGAGGGAATAGGGCCGGAATGGGGCGGGAGGCAGCAGGGAGAGGGGCAAGAGCGGGGCGGCGAGCGAGAGTGTGTCCGGCCGCGGCGTCGGCAGAGGGGCAGAAGGAGTGGCGTACGGCAGTTTTTGGCACGGCACGGCTCGGCTCGGAATGGCACGGCTCGGAACGGCACGGCACGGCTTGACTCGGGTCGGCACAGCTTGGCTCGGCACGGCAAGGCGGCAGGAGATGCATCTGCGGGAGTCAGACCCCGTCACTGCCCAACTCCCTTGGGGACCCTTCCCAAGGCCGTGCCAGGGYGGTGACGGAGCGGGAGAGGGACGTGAAGGCTCAGGCAGTGTGCGAGGAAGAGGAAAATGGCCGTGAAGAGGTTTCACGGGGAAGGAGTTCTCACCCTGCCGAGCCGGTAGGAAACAGCTCCGTGGGACCCAGCGCTGTGGGGTGTGTGCTGAGGCCGTGCCGGGTCCGGTGGGTGCTCTGTGCCCTCACGGTGTGTGCTGAGGCCGTGCCGGGTCCGGTGGGTGCTCTGTGCCCTCACAGCCGGGTGAGGGGCGGCTCACGGGGTGTGTGAGGTTTCGGGGATCCCCCGCACAGCCCTGTCCGTGCCTCGCTGTGCAGCCCCGCCGCCTCTCCTGCCCACGGCACATGTTCCTCCCGCAGATCCCCGCTAGATGGGTCCCGTGGCCTTGCGGTCCCTTGGACAGGCTCTCCTGCACAGGCAGCAGCGGGAATACGGCTCCTGGTTTTCGTTTTAAGTGAGAAGAAGGATCTGCCTCACACAGAGACGGGGCTGGACCCCGCAGCAGAAATTATTTGATTCTGATACGCACAAAATGCAACAGAGTGGCATAGAAAGGGGGCAGATTGCTAATTTAACCCTAGTGGAAGGTGCCCCTGGCCACGGCAGGGGAGTTGGGATGAGATGATCTTTAAGGTCCTTTCCGGCCCAAGCCATCTGTGATTCTATGAACTCCTTTACAACTGAGGGCACCCTTCTCCAAAGTACATCAAAACTGGCTGGAGCAGCTGCTGGAGTTGCTCTCCCATGTGAATTCCTTGCCATGGGCAGGGATCATTTCACTCCCTGATCCTTTCTGCCCCCCAGCACAGCTGGCTGCACAYCTGGCAATCATTTTCCTCCCCAGCAGAATGACCCCACAAAGCAAAGGAGGGGAAGCTGTGAGCAAGGCAGCACAGTACCATGGGCAGAGCAGCACCCTGGGACGCACAAGGTGGAGTGGGGCACAGCTGGTCAGTCACACCAACTAACATCTGTAGAACAGGGTGCCATTTGCTGTGGGACATCACTGTAAGGAATGAGATCACTGCAGTTATTTTGCTGACAGTCTAGAAAACTCCAGAAGAACCCTCATGAATAACGCTTCTGGTGTCTCAGTCCCCTGCTGTGGAAGGTGCTGATAACCTGCCTCTCTTCTACCTCTGCTCAGGAGTTGCCGTACCACTCATCCAATTCAGCTTTCCCAAGCCCAGTTGGGCTTGGCAGCACACAAACTAACCTGGGCTTGTTGGATTCCTGCATCCCCAGGCATCCTCCACACCCTGCATGCAGGATTTACCTTTGTAAAACTGAGCAAGTGGTTGTTGGAGTGAGCGGTGCYAGCCAAGGATTTCCTCTGTGCCTTCAGAAAAGCAAGGCAGAGCACTTTTTGGACTCACCATGATTCCCTGGAGCTCTGAGATTGGGGTCTCCAGTCAGTGAAGTGGACTCAGCCTCAAATCCCTACAACCCCAGGGCTCAGGTGAGCAGTGTGCCCCAGCTGAAGGTGAAATCCTGCAGAGAAGGGCTGATTGGATAAAGGGGCAAAACTGTCTTTGGGAACTGGCCAGAGCTGGCTTCTCCATCTCACCCCAAATAATGGGATTCAGCAAATGCATGTTTCCCTGGGCAGCCTGKCTGCTTCCCAGCGCAGGTGGGAAAGCTGGGGAGAGAGCTGACCTGGGGCACAGCTCTTGGGGACAGTGTGCCCAGCACTGGGCAGYCTGTCCCACCCCCAGCCCAGACAGTGGCACGCCAAGCACTCGCCCAACTCCCCATGTGCTGGGTGAAGAGGGAACAGCTGCAGGGGCCCTTCTGCTGCCTCAGGAGCTGGGACAGCACCCAGAGTCAGGCCGGGATCTAAATTTAAACTCATGCTTTGTGTGTTTGTACATGCGAGTGCAGGCTCCAGCCCCCACTCCCCCACCACCTCCCCCGTTGCACGGAGGAGACAGAGACCCAGAGGAGCTCCAGCTGGCTGGGACCTGGGGGAGGGGGGCTCCACTACAGGGCAGGAGGGGAAGAGACAGCTAGGGGAGCAACACCATGGAGCCTGCTTCTCCCCAGAGTGACGTGAAGAAGAGGCAACAGAAAGAGAAGTCCAAGAAGCCGGTACCACCGGTGGCTCCTCGTCCAGCCAGGGCTCTGTTCTGCTTAACTTTGGAAAACCCTCTGCGGAAGGCATGCATCAGCATCGTGGAGTGGAAGTATCCTCTGGCTGCGGGGGCTCGGGAGTGGTGTGTGTGTGAGCAGCGTGTTCAGCAGGGGTGCTGGGGGGCAGGAGAGCTGCCAGACTGCTTCMAGCCTGTGCTGACTGTCTCATCAAGCCTGTAAAAGGCAGTGAGGCACTCAGGGAGCCCTGGTAGGATCCATTGGCAAAGGCAGTGGCTGTGCTAACTGGGGCATGAACAGACTGATGGGGAAAGCTGGGGCTGAGGAGCCGTCAGGCCGTGGGGCCTTTGGTGGGGTGGGACAGGGATAGGGACAGGCAGGGACAGCCTGAGGGCCAGGGACTCGTGGGAGTGAACATGTGTGTGTTGTGTGCTGGGGAGAAATGAACTGATCGTTGAGAGGGGAGGGGGTTTGATGTGTCAGGAGAGGGCACAGTGCCCATCCTGGGGTGGGGATAGGGTCAGGCTGGGGAAGTGTGGGCTGGGGACAACATGACACCCTGGCAGAGAGGTTTGGGGGTGGGTAGCAAGACCATGGTGAGTTGCTTGGGATGGCTCTTTGTGTGTATCATTGTTCACCTCATCCCACAGCTGTGCTCTGCCCTTTTGGGGGGGCTCCCCCAAATTCTTGCTGGCACCTTTGTGTCCTCTCAGCTCCCTTTCCCGTTCYTTCCTGGTACTGCCRTCACAGGTGAAGGCTTTTGTGGGCRATACTGTTCAGAGGGATAGTCTTTCGTTGTGCCTTTAGCTTGGTGTTGTAGTTTGGGTGTTGCTCTTTGACCTTTTTGCTGGGGCATTGTAGCTCAGAAACACCAAAATGTCGTGTTTCTGCCATGCATCCAGGAACTATCACTTTGTTCACCTCTATTTTGTGTAAGGGAACAGAGTGGGAGATGAAACATTTCTCTTTGCTTTCAGCAAAACATTTGGCAAAATTGTTGGGCTGTGGGACGGAATCAAGTTCTTCCACCGCAAGTTTCCCCATTTCAGTCGCTGAACCTTATCTGTGARTTCCTGGCCTTGGCAGGATGATCCGAGCCCTGGCCAGGCTTTGCTCCTCTAGGASGTGGCTCGGTCACATTAGGCTGGCTGTGTTGCTGTGGGGATACCAAAGCCTTGCCCAGAGATGCTGCTTTATCCAAAGCCCAGGCAGCCCATTGGCAGGCATGAGGGCATGCTCACAGCTCTGCTGGTGCTGGAGTTTGAGACCTTGTTCCTTTATCGCAAAGGGGCTCTCTGTCCTTCAGGGAGTGTGAGCAGAGCCGAAAATGGGGAATTCTCATTCTCTGGCAAGAGCAATAGTGGTTGTGTGGGCATGTAGAAGGGAGCTGTGTGTCTTAAACAGATGCTGATTAGGGAAGAAACTTGTGTGTACACCCAAGTGGCMGGGGAGGAGCTGGAAATAGGACTTACATCTTCCAGCATGCTCAAACACATTCTTCCTCCTGGGCCAGCAYATGCCAGAGCAATGCATAGCACAGTGAGGGTCTTTCCTACGTCGGTGCTCTTGAATGGGAGAGGGGTGGGGACAAGTGGGTCCCCACCAGAAAGGTGGCAYGTCCAGGTGGTACATCTGACCTGTGCAGGACAAATGATCCAGCGAATCAGGTTTCTCCAGTGCCTGGCTGTATTTATACCCAGATGCACCTGGCTGCCCTCACTCAGGGATCAGAGTATATGAGGCTTGACAGGGTCGGGTCGTTCCAGTTCCTGTGGATTATTATGGTCTGCAGGGACATGCAGGCTGCCAAGGGGAGATTAGCTGTGACCCTCTTCCGTGGAGATAGGCTGTAGGTTCAGTGTGGCAGAATATATTCCTGTTCCTCAGACCCATCACTGCTGTATAGCTYCTCCTGTCAGAGTACAAAGCTGAGCCACAGGAGTGGGAGAGGGTCTTTTTCAAGCAGTTGGAGAGAGGGTGAGTGAAAGTCAGGCTGTCCTGAGGCAGAGGAGGTTTTATGCTGAAATTTGCTCACATCTCAAAAAATCATGTTCGTTAGTTGAAAGAAATCTGAATGTTCTGCAACTTACTGGGTATCGTGTGCATGGCAGCTGGTCCAACAGCTTGATAGTTGTTGGGACATGTCTYGCTTTGTGATGTCACCGTGCTATTTCAGGTCATTTTGTAGACAGGAGAACATCAAGGCAGATGGGTGAGGAGTCTAGGGACCGTGGAGGATCACAGAGATGCAAGACACAAATTCATGCTGCAAAGCAAATGTGGGTACCCTTGGATGCTGTGTGGTGGGAGTGTGTCGGAAAGAAAGAAGTTAGATTGCAAGGCAAGGAGATGAGGGGGATGCTGAGGCTCTGGGTCAGTGCAGGAGGCAGAGASACTGTACCCTGTTACCCTACATGTCTGATTTTTGGTTCAATCTGTCCCACTGCATTTCCACCTCATAACGGTGCCAGACTGGCAGAATCACAAGMAGCAAATGGATTCCAGCTCCAGTTACAGGAGCTCCAGTTGAGGTCACYCTTCAAGGAGGGCTCATCTTACCCTCTCTAAGCAAGCAGGGAGCCTCCAGTCCCTGGGCTCTGCCTCATTACCTGGACACAAAGGGGAGCAGCTTTTCCAGCTGACTTCAGTTTTGAAAGTGTCATCATGTTGATGGATAGAAAGGTTCAGAAAAGGAAAACAAGCCTGTGATGAGCCCAGGGCACMCCTGACAGCACTCAGCCAGCTCAGCAGGCTGGTGTGGATAGCATGCTCCCCTTGCTCTGTAATACTGGATTTGGACAGTGGTATGGGCACCAGAGCCCAAGGCAGCCCTCAAGGGAGAATGCTGGGGGAAACAGAGAGTGGGGGTCCCTGGTGGGAGAGCTTGGCTGCAAATGAGGCCTTGGAGGCAGAGTTTGAGCTCTTTGGAGGCTTCAGCTGAAGCTTCTCCAAGAGGTTTCAGTGGCTCAAACAGAACAGTGACAGCAGCAGCAAGTGCCTGTCCCAGGGCCTTCATGGGGAAATGGTAGGTCACCCCTTTCATTCTGAGGTGTCATAGGGCCCAAAGAGCACAGTTTCTACCTTGAAGGGAGTGGGACAGTCCTCAGGCTGAGCACTGTGTTCCATCCCAGCCCTGGCACTCCTGGGGACCGTCCCAGCAGTACTGCCTGTGTTGGGGCACTGAGGCTGGGATGGGGATGTTCTGCTGGGGAGACCCTGGATGAGCTGTCTTGCCCCRGTTAGACCTGAGCAGTAGGTGGCTCCCTCATGGATGCTGAGTGAGGCCAAGGGAGCCAGGGCCTGCCTGCAAAGGGGTCCTGACCCTTCAGGGTGATTCATTGAAGGATGAGGAAGGGGAAACTGCCAGCTCTCCCATCCCTTTGTTATTCCTCCACTGCAGCCTTTTTAATTTGTGTCCYTCCCCATATGTCCTGTGCCAGAGCTGATGGTCTGCAGCAGCCATGGACTGGGTGTCCAGGCCTTGCAGCACCTARGGATATGCCAAGGCTGAGCTCTGGCTGCTCTCTCTGTGCTCTGTTGGGGGCTGGTTCTCCACACCCGCCCAGGCAGGACAGGGCAGGGGCAGGGTTATACCTGCATTTTATTTTCCGTCACTGCTCCTTAACATTTCTTCTCAGACCCTTCGAGATCATCATCCTCTTCACCATCTTTGTCAACTGTGTTGCTCTGGCCATCTACCTGCCCATGCCTGAAGATGACACCAACGTGGCCAACTCCAGCCTGGTAAGGAACAGCCCTTCCCACAGTCCTGGTGGCTGAGGGCTCTGCGGGGCTGGGTGCCTGGTGTGACACGCTGCAAGGTGGCAATAGCTGTCCTGGGGGCATCTGCTGCCCCAGGGGTGGGAAGAAGTGACTGCAAAATGGGTTTTCAGAGGGGCTGAAACCACCTCTGGGTCGAGATCAAAGGCAGCAGATCAGTGTATGAGGTGCACATGAAGGAACGATTGATGCCAATAAAAAAAAATTCCCTCTGCTTTTTTTTCTTTTTTTTTAAATCACACTTTCAGAAGGAAACATCCTGTTCCAGAAAGGCTCAAATGGTTTCTTTCAGCATTTTGGAATAAATTTTTCTGACCTTTCCTTTCAAAACTGTAGTTTAATTTTGTTACTTTTTATTTAAGAGGGGAAAAACCTTTTCCTGTTAGGTGAAAAGGTCACTCCTTTCCAATCAGGAAGAAAATGGATTCATAAGTCACTTCACTTTTCCTGGAATATGATGTTTTGATGTGACCCAAATCAATAATTTACACTATTTTTAGTTTGCCACTCCTTTCTACTCTTCACATCCCCACTGTGGTTCAATCCACATTGATTTCCATTGAGAGACAGAGCATGATGGCTGAACCAAAACATCTAAATAGCCCTTTTTAATGAAATGTTGTCTCTTGCTGGTTTAGGATCTCCTCAGGATCAATGCCCATCGAGTGTTTGTTCCTAGGGTGTTCCTTCAGYCTCATGGCTGGTCTGACCAGCTTCCCAAACCTCTCAGACTTGTTTTGGTATCTTCCCTGGCTGAGGGGCGATACCACGGTTTGGTAGGTGCAGTTATCTCAGGGGAGAGCTGAAAAAGGTAAAGCAAACAAAGCAAAGCTGAGGCAGKTTGGCCATGGGAAGCAGGAGATGAGGACAGTGGGGATGGGGGCTTCCCTCTGGGAGAGGGCTTGGAATGTGGCTGAGAGCTGTCCCCAGTGAGGGCAGAGCTGGGGGAGGCTCAGCTGTGTGTGGCACTGTGGCACCAGCAGGGATCAAGTGGCACCAGCCTCACAGGGTCCCAGATGGGCTGGTGCTGCCCAAGAACCAGCAGCCTTTTCCAGGAGCAGGTGAGCAAGGACCGAGTGATGTACATTCATTGCATAAATGAAATTCCATCTGTTTTTATTTGTTATATATTGATTACTTATGCTATACCCTACTGGGGGATTTTTCAGCCTGTTGCCATGCCAACAGCCCTTGATATCAGGAGCCAGGTAGCCCCAGGCTGCTGTTCTTTCATCCCTGCTYGCTGTCCCTTTGTTGCCATTCTGAAAAATAATGAAATAACCCATAMATTTTCTAAGAATCCATTTTGCTTYATYCTGGAAGAAGTACAGTTGTTTAATTTGAACACATTTCATTATTTTTCCTTCTATATTAGATTTCMTTTGATCCAGAAGGTTTTTTTAATGCTGTTTTTATCTGATTTTGTCTTTTTCTAATGGAATCAAAATCTTTTCTTCAATCCTGATGAAATGATTTTGACATTTCAACTTGYTCAATAATTCACAGCACTTTTTTTCTCTTTTACTTGAATTTCCAGAGTTTCAAATCCCACTGTTTTTCACTGGAAACCTTACTCCAGGAAGCAAGCAGCTTCAGAGTGTGTTTAGCAAGGCWGGTTATTCACAGGGATTCACCTAAGGAAATACAGATGGCTGTATGTGGCTCGTCTGCCTGACCTCTGTTTATGAGCAGTGAGGAATTAAAGTCAAATTTAGAGTACAGTTCATCTCCCAGGGCAGTTAAGCCATTTCTGCAGTTCCAGTGGGTGATGTTTGACATGAAATATCAGGTTTTCATAGAATTGTGGAAGTGTAGTATGGTTTTGTTGTCTTGACTGCTAGTTTTAATTATGATATAGACAGAGTTAAGGGGTTAAAAGGGTTTTATTTAGGTATTTAATGGGATCCCAGGTGCATAGTTTGACAGGATGGAAAGATGCTGAAAAAATGCACCTTGCGTATAATATGTATATAAATTTTATAGACTTTATWAATTAGCATATTTATTTAAATTTCTCCARTAAGAAAMTTAACAAATGAAGTAATGTCCCCCTATTTTAAAGAATTTTCCTTTTAGATGAGGCTAGAGTTTAGTTTRTACCATATGTTCTGGAGAGAAGGCTGTAGGCAAGCTTGCAGCCTCAGATTTAAGATAGTWCATGTCAAGCTGACCCTTTACTGAGGATGTTTGGTCTTTCTGCTTAGTAGAACTCAGAAATCATCAGACATCAGTTTGGGTCAGGAGGACATGGGCRGGGACACCTTCCACTRTCCCAGGSTGCTCCAAGCCCCGTCCAAYCTGRCCYTGGACACTTCCAGGGATGGGGCAGCCACAGCTTCTCTSGGCAACCTGTGCCAGGGTCTCACCACCCTCACAGGGAAGGATTTTTYYRTAATATTTAAATGYACTCTCTTTCMGTTTAAAGCCATCTGTCTTTTTGGTTTCAAGTTTTTCCCCACATGTGGGACCCAGGGATGACTGCTCAGAGGGAGGCCCCCTTCCAGACCACCAAAAAGCAGCTGTCCTGAGTCCTATGGACTCTGGAGGAGGATCAGGACATGGGGCTCAGGGAGTGGGGTACAGAGCTGGAGCTCAGCCTGTCAAGGAGTCAATTTAAATAGTACAGGTAATGGCCTCTGTGTAGGTAYGCTGCTGGTGTCACAGATAATGGCTTTAGGGTTTAGGTAGAAKGAATGTTTGATGTCAAGGATGCTTCTGAAAATCCCACCATTTTGGGTTGTGTCTCAGCCCTGGGGTTAGGGAACTCCTGTGTTTTTAGAGCCTGAACATAGCCTCAGGTACAATTCTGTGACAGGAATCACTGATGCACTTGCAGGAGCCCCAGCTTTTCATCTGCTCTGGAGAGCTGTAATTACTTGTAAATCCTGCATACTGTCTGTCACCCCAGGGCTGCGACATGGACATCTCCAGGAACCCCAAAACAGTTCCATTTGGGCAGCTGACTTGCATCCCACAGTCCCTGAGCAGAGTTTGCAGGTCCCTTGCTGGTTTTGAAGAGCTGTTGGAGCCAGTGCCTGGACTTGGTGTGGGTTCCTTGCTGCAGGAGAGTCACGATTGCATGTGGCTTTCCCAGGGCCTGGGGTCACCCTTGATCTYCTGGATCTTCCAACAGCTGTGACAAGAGGCAACACCCCTGCATGTCTGCATGCACAGACTCTGTGACTGAGCTGCAGAAATCACTGCTGCCCTGGTGCCTGGCACCTGGAGGAGTGCTCATGCAACTGTGTGAGCTGCCCCTGGCTCCATCCTCCCCCTCACTCTGCCCTGGGGCTATTGGCAAGGGCTGGCACCCTGCCCAGCTTGTGGTTGGGCCACCCCTGTGGCCACCCTGGGGTTTTGGGTAGTCAGAYGAGCCAGCCCCTCACCTCACCCTCCAGGGGGGCCAGCAGAGCCCACCACTCACTCATCCTGAATGCCACTTACACACTGCACCCTCCTCACCCTGCTCCATCACACAGTGTGCTCCTCATGCCCCGTGGTCCCCAGCTCCACAGCAAGGCTTCCTTGRAAGGGACCTTGCTGACCCTCTGCTCCCAGCCCTGGAGAAGGCCAGGTTGGCTGCAACTTCTTGAGATTTTTGTTCTTACAGCTTTCCATCATAGACTGGGCTTCCCAGGTCTGACAGGCATCACTGAGCCCKTGTCTGTTCTGTGGTCAAATTCTTCTCCTGGTTTTGAGCTGGTAGCACCCACCAAAGCCTTTCCCAACCAAGCATCTGTAGTCCAGGGAGAACCCTCAGCACTGCACCAAGATGTCTCACAGACATCAGAACAGATATGTGGGACAGCTGGACTGGCTTGAAGCAATGAGGAGCTCTGGTCAGCCAGTGAGGGAGATGCAATGGGGAACAACTTGTAAGACCTGCCATTCTGTGCTTTCATCTGCTGTAGGGGGGTTATGGCTTTCCTGGTTCCTGTCTCTGCAGCCCTGGTGTGTCTCTTGTTTGTGGGAAAGGAAGAGCTATGGCTGGAGAATGTGGCAGGAAAATCACTGCATTGCAGAGCAGCTAGGGGTGGAGTGATGTCTGGAGATGGTCTACTCCAAATACCTGCTCTAAAAAATCTGTGCAAACAGTCCAAAACCTCTCAGATTCTTTCCTGCACGTCTTCCCACCTCAAGTACTTGCTGTGCTATGACAGAGGCCATTGTGGAGAGCAGAAGTGTTTCTCTTGATGTTTCTTCCTTGCTGTGGTCTGCAGCAGTCCCAAACCCTAGCTGCCCTTCCCAAGCTGGGCACCAGGGTTTCCCACCACTCAGGGGAGACTTCCTTGGCTCCAGCCCTCAYTTTCATCTTATTTGCCAAAGGGGATCTCATGAGATTGCTGTAAATTTATTCCTATACATTACCTGTGCTGTCCGCTTCTCTGTCTCACATCTGTGGGGTTTTGTTCATCTCCATTCAGGGGAATGGGAAAAGGTCACTGAGCTACTTTGTTTTGCAGAGGATGTTTGCTGCAAGCCTCTGGAGATCATCTTTATGGATGTTTTATGTTTACAAAGGGCTTAGAAAGACTTCAGCAGCGCAACTCCCTGTCCTGCATGTCTTAGTGCTGACAGTCCATGCATGTGTCCTGGTCAACCCACTGGTGCACCTATAAAAAGAGTTTTGTTTTTAAGGTTGGGCTGGAGCTGCAGGAGAAAAGGGGAGCAGGGCCCAACTGGGATGCTGAAGGGGAGATTCAGGGCTGATGGTGCAGGAACAAAAGGCATGGAGAAGGGCAGAAGGCTGGGGCAGTTTGGAGGAGTCAAGGGGAGTGTGAGGGCTGTGAGGTCTTGCTGCAGGTGGTTATCTTCTGCTGGGAGGCAGGGGTAACTATCCATCTGTGTTGTGGTCAGGCTGTGCCCTCACTACCTCTCCCCTTCTTTGCCCAGCTGGGAGAGTTCATTCAAACCTTGCTTCCCCTACTCCCTGGGAATGGGCACCAGGGACACGAAGGTGGGACTCCTTCCAGAGAGCCCTGYGTGGCTGTCAGGACTGGGAGCTGACGATGCTGAGCAGGCTGGGGCTGTGCCATGTTGCATCACATCATCGCAGTGCACATGATTACCCTGCTGCTCCGTGGCTCMTGGGTGGGTCAGGGTGCTGTGTGCCCAGCCATGGGTGGAGCACATGTGGAGCATGTTGTAGAAGCTCAGTGTGTTACAGAGACCTGCATCTTTTCCTTGTGGCTTTTTCAAAACTCGGCTCTTCATACCCCCAGTCCCAGCTGTGCCAGACAGCCCTGTGCCGTGCCCTAAGCATCCCACAGTGGGGAGCCAGCCTCTGAATTCTGGGATGAGGGGGGGGCAGTGGGTGGTGGTGGCACACAGTGGGTCCCCAGCTGCTCGAAGCTGGAAGTGAAGTCAGCAGAGCTGTGTCTGTCCATGGCGTGTGCCTGGTGTGCAGGGTCTGCAGTGTGGCCTTCATGGCATGGGCACGGGGTGGCAAYTGGGCCATGAGTGCACAGTCCCTGTGCTGACCTGCAGCATGGACAGCAGCAGGGCTGGAGGCAGCACGTGGCTCATTTCTTCTCCAGTCAGCCTGGGCMCAGGCAGTGGGGTCTGCCTAGGGGYGGGACATATGGTCCTTGTCCTGGTGTAAAGTCTGCCAGGGTGAAATATCCTTCAGCTTCTTCCTGCTCTGGAAACTGCAGTGAGTTTGTCCTGGCTCAGGCCATTGCACTGTAGCCACAGAAGTTTAATTGCTGGTACTTTACATGATCTCAGCCCCAAACACCACCCATGTCCTGGGCTCACCCCACAGCARGTGAGGRAAGCAGGTGGTGGGGGAGATTCTGCYCCTCTGCTCTGCTCAGRTGAGACCCCACCTGCAGAGCTGCCTCCAACCCTGGGGTYCCAGCACAGGAAAGACATGGATGTGTCGGAGCAGATCCAGAGAGGGCCACAAAGATGCTCTGAAGGCTGGAGYCCCTCTGCTCTGGAGCCAGGCTGGGAGAGCTGTGAGTGTTCACCTGGAGAAGAGAAGGCTCTGAGAAGACCTCATCACAGCCTTCTAGTACCTGAAGGGGGCTTATAAGGATGATTGAGGCAAAGTTTTTAGCAGGGTCTGTTGCAGTAGGACAGATGGTTTTAAACTGGAGTAGTGTAGATTTAGATTAGTTATAAGAAAAAAAAAAATTACACATTGAGGGTGTTAAGGCCCTGGCACAGGGTGCCTAGAGAAGCTGTGGCTACCCCTCCCTGGAAGTGTTCAAGGCCAGGTTGGATGGGGCTGGGAGCAACCTGGGATAGTGGAAGTTGTCTCTGCCCATGGCAGGGGCTTGGATTAGATGACCTTTAAAGGCTCCTTCTAAAAAAAAAAACTATTCTGTGTGGCCTGCGGCTGCACCTACAACCTGGAGAATCCAGAGAGTATTTGCCATAACCTGCCCCACTGGAAGTGTGCAYCACCTCAGCCCACTGACAAAGATGCTGGTGGTGTGTCTTCATAGCCAGGGGCCTGGCTCCCCTTGCTTTGCTGACATCAGCACGTGCCCAGTTTAGACCCAGATCATCTGGGAGAACTGGACCCACAACTGTAGAACCAGCCAGCAGTAATTGCCAGCAGTAATTGCTGCATGTAACCTTCCTACAGGCCATGCCAAGGCTTTTCCTTGTGCTGGAGGGCTTACTCCAGCAGGACAGATCGGGATGATTCAGCTCCAGCTGTGTGGCTATGTCTGCAGGGCACAGCACTGAGCTGGTGCTGTGAGGGAATTTGCCATTGTGTCCCTCGTAGGCTGGGGAAGGGTTTCTGGGGGCAGGGGGCTGCCTGCTGCCTCTTCCTTGGCCCAGGTTTGAGCCTTCCTGCTCACTGGCTGGACCTGGTGGGCAAATACCCTTGAAGTGGTCCAAAGCACTGCTCATCTGCTTCTCAAAGGGACCTCTGTGGAGCAGTGAGTCACCTTTTGATTCTGGGCAAGGGGTTTTCAGAGGAAGATACCTTCTGGAGACCCTAGAGCCTGAGTGTGTTCTGCTGGAAAATCGGGGTATGTGATTGACTTTTGCGGTGCTGGATCCTGACACTCACCATTCTTAGCAGCTGCAGGGCTGCTGTTGCTTGCAGTGGGCTTTCCTGTTTCTCCTCTGCAGCTGGGGACACGCCCACCATACCACTGTCTGCTGGCACGGCTCTGCAGCCCCTCTGTACCTGAAATGATCCTCGTGGCAGTTGTATTTGCATGGGATTGCAAGGACAGGCTTTGGGGGACAGTCTAGGGTGCATTAGTTCCCTAAGGGTGAGAGGTCAGCAGTGTTGAGCTGCCCTAGCTAAAACCTTGAAGACAGAGGCAATGCCAAGATCTCTGCTCTTACTCTGTCCTCAGGTCCAACAAGAAACAGGCACTTGTGGGGGTGACAGTGACATGGGGACACTCGGCATGCTCACTGCTTTTGGACAGGACATGTTAATTGAGCGAGTAAAGCTTCTGTCTTGAGCTCTAGCCCTGGCTTCTTAAAGGAGAGGATTGTCCATTTGGCAGGGCATGGGCACCCTGGGGAGGAAGATGTGGTCACAGCACCACAGCATTTCCCAGTCTGGTCTCAGAGAGAGGTYTCTGCCTTCCTGAGAGCAATTCCCTGGAGATCCCAGGCAGGKATGCTCCTTGCCCTTCAGGCTGAGGAGAGGGACCATGGAACACCAGAAATATAAATAGCCCCATCCACCTGGCTGCTTCAGAAGGCTTTTAATCCCAGTCTGGAAGGGACATTGGCAGCAAGGGCAGGGATGGCARTGACAGGCAGAATCAGGTGGGCACAGGCAGCTCTTGGCTGCACCCCAGGGACAGATGAGCTCTCCTGGCCCAGCAGCAACAGGGATGTGCCAAGACCCTGCAGTGGGGTCCCTCCTGCCTGGGAGGGGGTGCAGCACCTCTGCCTGGTGAGTCCCAGACCCTTTCTAGCAGGTCACTCTGCCAGGCAAATATCTGGCTTTAGGCAGGAGGTCTTGAGCCCAAGGCCTCCATTCCCTGGGAGCTTCATTTCCATCCGAAATAAAAGGGAAGCCATGGGACAGCTGGCTTGTCCCACGGTGACAGTGTGTGGTCCGCAGGATAGACCTAGCAAGCCCTCAGCTGGAGAGGATGAGGAGGAGGAGTCAGTGCTGCCTGCAGGAGGAAGGCTGTGGGGGAATGGGAGGTGAGCAGCAGGGGGGGAGAGCCACAGAGGAGCAGTGCCCTGGGCCAGACACCTCTGGGTGCTGCCTTGAGAAGCTGTGACTTTGCTGGAACTCTTTGTACCCACAACCCCAGGGCAGGGTCCTGGCAGGGGCCACTGAAGGGGTGGGGTGGGGGTGCCACACTGCAGGCCAGAGGGTGGCATGTGGTGGCTCGGCGTGCCACCCCTTCTCCCCAGGGTGCTGCTTGGCGGCTGCATGGCAGCACAGATGGGATGGCAGCAGGGGCTGATCTGGAGCCACACGGGGGTGATGGTGCATGGTGAGGATATGGGGAGCTGATGGTCTGTTCTCATGAAGGATTCTCTCCTGCTTGCCCCTGCAACCCCCAGGAGAAGATCGAGTATGCCTTCCTTATCTTCTTCGCCATTGAGGCCATGCTCAAGATAATCGCCTACGGCTTTCTGTTCCACGCGGATGCCTATCTCCGAAACGGCTGGAACGTGCTTGACTTTTCCATTGTGACTCTAGGGTAAGGAAAACTGGGAAGGCTGCTGCTGCTCAGCTTGTGCCAGGCCTGTTCCACAGCCAGTCAGGGATTAGTTTTTCCAGTAATTGCAATGTGTCGGGGAACATCTCCTTGACTGAGTTCATGGCTGTCTCCCATGGGCCCCCTTTCCCTGCTCTGACATCCACTGGGATCCTCCCTAACTCCTGTTTTCTTCCTGTCTTAACTCTTTCATGCCTCTTAGGCCTTCTTGCCTTGGAGAAGGAGGGTGGCACGGGGTCCTCCAGGGTTTGCACAGGGCGGGGAGGTCCCTGGCTGTCAGCAGTAGAGCTGGCCATGCCAAGAGCTGCCCCCTGCGTGAGGCTGAGCACAGCTGGCACTCCTGGCATTGCTCTTCTGTCTGCAGAGCTCTGAATCCTTAGCTGAGATTTCTCAGTCTCCATCCTCACACCCTTCTCTTTCTCCCTGTCCTTCCCTCTGCTTCCCATCCTTCCTTTCCTGTGCCCTGGCTCTTTCAGGCTCATCACCATGACCCTGGAGCAGGTCAATGCAAAGCAGGGMGGGACTTCGGGGGGAAAAGGCGGCTTTGACGTGAAGGCCCTGCGAGCGTTTCGTGTGCTGAGACCCCTGCGCCTGGTGTCCGGAGTGCCGAGTGGGTGCTGGGTGCCCTGCCATCACGAAGGGCTGGTGGGTGGATGGAACCCCTGGGCCTGGCCAGGGTGGGGAGCCATGGGACAGGTTTCTTCTTGTTGCTGGATCAAGCTCAGCCACAAGGCAGGTGTAGAGGAGGCACAGGTTCTTGCTTGTTCCTCCAGCTCCTAGTTGTCAGCCCTGGGGGTCTGCAGGCTGGCACACATCTGGCTCAGGATCACAGGCTGGCACACATCCATGGCTCAGGGTCATACCTTTGGGTAGCCGGTGTGAAGGGGGCCAGGACCTTGCTCTGRTTTCTCAGAGCAGGGGTCTCGTTCTTCTGTAATTCATGTGAATACAGCCTGGATTAGAGCAGCAGAGCAAATGGAGGGGCATGAAGCAGCCTCCAGTAATGCTTGGCTGTGCTGTACTCTTCCACCTGCTTTMATGGTGGGTAGAATAAAGGACTTCTTGCTTCAGAGTGCCAAGGGGCTTCCTGTGGCAAGGGGCATCTCAAAGGTTGCTCGTTGGTGGACTGGCAGGGATGCAAGGTGCACTCAAAGCTATTTAGGAAGTGTTTGACCTCCTCTYCCTTCATCTTTGTGCAGGCCTTCAGGTTGTCCTGAACTCCATCATCAAGGCCATGGTGCCCCTGCTCCACATCGCCTTACTGGTCCTCTTCATGATCATCATCTACGCCATCGTTGGGCAGGAGCTCTTCAAGGGCAGGATGCAYAAGACCTGCTACTACGTCGGGACAGGTGGAGCTGTGCTGGGGTGGGGAACGCAGTGATTCTGGGTTCAGCAGAAAATGTGGCCTTGGCAGCACCAGGCCTAGGAATGTGACAGGACTGAGGGACGTTTGGACTAGCACAGAGCTGGGTGTGAGGGGTGGTGAAAAGGGTCCTGTTTGGAAGGCTTTTACCAGAGGTGTGTCGGGGAGGAAGTGTGAGCTACTGTGTTTGGCCTGACTTGCTGCTCACACCGTGGCTTTGCTCCTCAGATGTGATTGCCACYGTGGGATCGGAGATGCCAGCCCCGTGCACCAGCTCTGGCGTGGGGCGACACTGCACCATCAAYGGCAGCGAGTGCCGTGGCGGCTGGCCAGGGCCCAACAATGGCATCACCCACTTCGACAACTTCGGCTTTGCCATGCTCACTGTCTACCAGTGCATCACCATGGAGGGCTGGACTGAAGTTCTCTACTGGGTAGGCTGCAGCACTTTGTACCCAGCTTGGCAGTGATGCTGTTCTTGCCTCAGGGCAAGGAGTGCCCTCCTGGAGACGGGACCCCATGGCAGGGCTCAGTTTCTGCTAGTGAAAGGTGCCCTGCCCCTGCCAACCTTCCTACTGATATACACATCCCATAACACACCAGGTTATGGATCTCTGCATCCGTGCAAGCACTGCCTAAGCTGTCCTTGCTCTCCAGGTAGACAGGAATTGCTCCAGYTCCCACCTTTGTAAAGGGGGATGGGCCAGGCACAGTAAGGACTGGTGAATGCTCCTCCAGCAAAGCCCCATGTGTTTCAGTGCTTGGGAGTTATGCTGGAGCTTAGGCTTGGGGCTGGTGTTTAAATCTGCTCCTAAAATGCTTGGCTGTGGCTGTAAAYCAGATACAGAGTTCTAGGCAGCCAGGGCTTGCAGCCAGATTTCCATCCCAAGCACTCCCTTAGGARGGGGCAAAGATCCCAGAGGCTGTTGAGGGGCCCTAAGGTGAAACAGCGGATGGTGCCTTCAAATTATTTCACCTGCTTCTCTCTTTGCCAGGTAAATGATGCCATGGGGAATGAATGGCCCTGGATCTACTTTGTCAGCCTTATACTGCTTGGCTCCTTCTTTGTGCTCAACCTGGTGCTGGGGGTGCTCAGTGGGTAAGTGCCACCCTATCCTGTCTACCAGCAGAGGAATTTGAACTGCTTTGAGCTATACAGGAAAAAAG